ATGTATATATATATATATATATATATATATATATATATATATATATATATATATATATATATATATATATATATATATATATCAGTTAAATTGGATAAAATTTGTTATAACAAAATATATATATATATATATATATATATATATATATATATATATATATATATATATATATATATATATATATATATATATATATATATATATATATATATATATATATATATATACAGTCAGCGAAATTCTAAGGATTTCAGGTCGGCACACACGTGCTGTTCTTAGCCAAGGTCAGGTCGGCAAAACACTTTCCTATGCTTTAATAATGCTATTAAATAAGTTTGGAAAAAAATTGAAAAAATTAATTGAATAAAAAAAAGAATGCATTATCTTTTTAAATAAAACTTGCCAAACGTGGATTTTTCCAAATTTCTTCAAAAGTAATTACAAAAACTAAATGATAAACTTATATTTAACAAATATTATTTATTTTTTACATGTATTTATTTATGCATGCCGACACTTTAAGAGATTCAGGTCGGCAGTTGCATGCTGTCATAAGGCAAAGATAGGGCGGCTTTTGCGACGGCGTTGCCGAATGCTGACCTGAATTTTGCTGACTGTATATATATATATATAATATATATATATATATATATATATATATATATATATATATATATATATATATATATATATATATATATATATATATATATATATATATATATATATATATATATATATATATATATATATATATATATATATATATATATATATATTAGGGTGGTGCTTAAAAAAACTTTTTTGAGAAAAACCTGCTGGTACCCCCTAAATGTGTTTTATCTAATACAAAAACACTAGGTTTAAAATTTTTTTGAACAAAAAATATTTTTAGGGGTAGCTCAAGGCCCTCAAAAATTTGACGGGTCCCTAATATTTTGAAAAAAAAACTTTTTCTAAAGTATGTCAACCTGGTACTCAAAAGAAGCGAAATTATATAAAAACTTCAAAAATAATAATCATTTTACATAAAAAACATGCCTAAAAAAATTATTCTTAAAAAACTGACTTTTTTCATTTTCAGCCTAAAAACAATAGTTTTTATGCATTTATAACTGAAAAAATTATTTTTGTAAAAAATTATTTTCATTTTTAAATTTTTTATATAATTTTGCTTATTTTGAGTACCAGGTTGACATACTTTAGAAAAAGTTTTTTTTTCAAAATATTAGGGACCCGTCAAATTTTTGAGGGCCTTGAGCTACCCCTAAAAATATTTTTTGTTCAAAAAAATTTTAAACCTAGTGTTTTTGTATTAGATAAAACACATTTAGGGGGTACCAGCAGGTTTTTCTCAAAAAAGTTGTTTCTCAAAAAAGTTGTTTTAAGCACCACCCTAATATATATATATATATATATATATATATATATATATATATATATATATATATATATATATATATATATATATATATATATATATATATATATACATATAATATATATATAATATATATGAAGAGCGTATTTTCAAAATGCGGTATATCCATTTTTGTGGTATTGAGATAATTGACTTTTTTCGCCACACCAACATGTCTCGTATATTTGGAAAATATATTGATTCTTAATGTATATATACATAAAGTATATTATATAATGTTAATAAATAAAATATTATTTAATAGAAAAATTTATTTTTTTTGTCAATAAGTTTGCATTTATTTTCAAAATCCTGTATATCCAATTAAAGCTTGTTAGCAAAATGCGGTATATCCATTTTATAAAGATGTTATGGAAAGTTTTTAAACTTTAAAAGACCTGAATAAGTTTTAATGATTAATTTTATTTAACATATTGAACAAATATGTGTATTTAATGTTTGGTCATTATATTTTATTGATAATGTGAATGTAAACAATGTTTTATTAAAGTAATGTAAACTATTACATTTCACAATTCGCAATTGTAAATTTATATTTGTTTCGGAGAGTTAAATATGGACAATAAACAATAATGTTTTTTTAGTGTTGTGTAGTTGTAGCAATGATGATCACTATTTTTAAGTCTCCATAGAACTAATGGACAATTAATATAACGTAAAATTCATCGTTATATTTTTGAACGAAATAAAATTTTAAAAATGAAAGACTGCAATAGCCTCATTTTATTTACAACAAAGCAATTGTCGGTTTAACAAAAAATAAAAAAGAAGTATTATTATTGAATGCTTTCCATTAAAAAACAGGTAACAATATGTTTAAACTTATTAATTTAAGTTGCCTTTTTAATATATATTCTTTAACGCAACTTTAAAATATTTGCGCTTGCGCAGAAGTAATATACATTTGCCACGGATTGGTCAAAATTAAATACCGCATTTTGAAAACAAATAAAAAATTTTATACCGCGTTTTGAAAGTAAATGTTTTTTAGAAGTAAAAAAATATTGAGTTATACTTCGTTTATCATATATTCGGACACAATGTCTGCTAGGTCCTTATAAACTAAAAATAAACCACACAATTTCTCAAAAATTTTGAAAATGGCGTTTACCGCGTTTTGAAAATAAACTCTTCATATATATATATATATATATATATATATATATATATATATATATATATATATATATATATATATATATATATATATATATATATATATATATATATATATATATATATATGTATATATATATATATATATATATATATATATATATATATATATATGTATATATATATATATATATATATATATATATATATATATATATATATATATATATATATATATATATATATATATATATATATATATATATATATATATATACATTTTGTTATAACAAATTTTATCCAGTTTAATTCACTAATCACGAGGAAAAGTTCATATGCAAGTGTAATTACGTATTGTTTTATGGATCCAAAATTGAATACAGCTTACTTTTTATGGATATAATATTGAATACAGCTTATGGCAGTGGCATGTATGTAAATAAACAGATTTAAATTCAATATATCCTTCAAATATTATGTGCTGTTACTTACTTTGAGCCTATTGTACTGCTAGAAGAAGAAGAATGTTTTAGGTAGTTGCATATTTTGTAACGTCTAAAGTCTTTTATACTGTTTATACATTTTATTATTATTTCATTCATATCATATTTAAGGATATTTTTATTGTTTTTTCTGTTTGTTTTTTTTCAGATTCTTACCCAAAAGCTGTTTAAAAATTAAAAGATACCAAATATACTTCAGATTTACAAACAGATGTTAAGAAAATTTGTCAACGACCAAAACGTAAATGGTGCTTAACATTTTTTAAAATAAATAATAATTAAGATTTTCTGAATAAAAAATTGTTTTAGGTATATAATTTACACAAACAAAAACAGAACTGTTTTTTTTCTGAAAAACTTCTGATGTAATAGTAGGTAAAAAAAAGTAGGAAACGTTGGATCGTTTTTTTACTGATTGTTTTTTATTGTGATTAACATAACAATAAAAATTTTAATTTATTATTTTTAATTTATTTATTAAAGTGTTTGTATGGCTCAGTACATAAAATATAAAGTTAAAATGTGGCTGATACTGTAAGCAAGAATTTGTGGAAAATATAGTTTTTTTGTCTTTCTATTTGTCTGATATTTTGATCAGCATAGTCATTGTTTGAAGGTTATTTAAAAACTAGTTTACACTTTTTTACTTTTAGTGTTCTTTCTGTCAAATCATAATATATACATTATTAACTATTTTTTTTAGAAAATTTTAGAAGTGTTAAGGCAATAACTTGATGATGTTGAAAATGATAGTGTTTACCAGATTATTAATCTTCATATTCACGAGATAATGAAGCAGCTAGAGTACTTGGTCATAGTTATCAATCAGATGCAGCGCTAATACGTGACAATTTTAGATAACAGTTTTGAAGACGATTTTCAGAAAATAGAAAAAATAATTTT